TATTTTAATAAATATATATATATAATTATATATATAAATATATATAAATATATATTGTGGAATGTCCACAATTGGTAGGGAATTTCCAATGGAATGATGTTGATGACTGTGTCAACCAGGATTGAATCGGAAACAGCAGTAGGAAGATCTGTAAATAATGGTCCCCTGAACCTCAATGACTATGGCCACTCCTATGGCTAATCGCACCGTTCCACCCAAGCTAAAGTGCAGCAGGCTCTGTTGTTTTCCTCAGAGCTCACCAGGTGCACAAACCCCTCGCTCGGGCCTATAAATGGCCGCCAGGCATTTGTTGATCCCCTTTGTTGGTTGGTATGTAGAACATGGCTTTGACAGCGACCCCAACTGGAGAGTTCAGGAGGGAAAAGGAATATATATTGAAATCACACTCCCAAAAATTTCTTTTCTTGTTTATACTTTTTGCAGCTTTCATCCTGGCGATGTGAGTGCTTCGTATGGGCTTACGGTGTTGGAAACCGTTTCTGACAACCAGGTTTTGAAGGCTTTTCGATCGGCGCGTTGTTTTAGAGTTTCATCAATGTCATGAAGACAGGTTTTGCATTGCTTGAGAAATTCTCGTAGTCGAAAACAGTCCATGATTTTTGTCAATGCATCTGATAATTGAGCAGCACTATGAACCCAATAGGGTGTTATCCCGGACTGAATATGATCTTTAATCACTAAGGTTTCGATAAGAGTTCGATGTTCTTGATACTGAGGTGTTGTGTTCTTCGAAATTACATCAAAGAGGGATTTGTAGTCCATTATTGCGATGCCAGGTGGAGCCTTCATCCAGACCCTTTCAGGATCTCGCCAAGGGATTGTGGGATTTTTAATCCATTCCCACATCAAACGGAGCCAGTTGGCAGTGTCCACTGCGGATAACAGTGCATATGTTTCGGATGCCAAAGTACTTGCTACAACACGGTCAATCTTCTTTGAATACCACGACAGTGGGCTTGCAATAGCGCTTTTCTGCTCAAAAATGTCCTTATGAGTAGCTAAAAACAAACCACCCTTTTGGCTATGAAGTTTCTCTCGTGTGGCGAAAGAGGCATCGGAATATGCAACTATTCGAATGTCATCACATGGTATGTTTGCTATTTTGATTGACACATCAGCATGCGTCTTCGTATCTCCCAGGAGTCGATTTGCTTCCAACAAGTCTTTGATGGTAGCACAGTTTATCTTTGACTGGAGAAAGCTCAAACGTGCTGAGAGGTCAGGACGCGTATTTGTAGCAGCATATTGCAGGGAGCCAATGAGGCCACGCAAATTTTGGCGCTCTCCTTCGGTTACTGGCAGTGACTCTTGTTTTCTTCGTTGACGTTCAATGGGAATAGCTTCAATTGCAAAAATGTAATCCATTTGACTGAGAAATATGTTGAACTGTTTGTCTTGAGTGAGTTGGATTCCAGTGAAAGTGAAATTGGTGTCACGTTTAGAACCGAAAGGATATCGATTTTCCAATTGCTGCAGAGCTCTGTCAAAAACCTCGTCTCCCGCACAAAGACCATCATCCACATGTACTCCTATCAATCCATGTACCACTCCATGTTCATCAACCAAGGAAAACAGGCAAGGATCTAACGGGCTGAGCTGGAATTTCAGTGACAGTAAACATTCCTTAAATTCCACATACCAGAGATATGGAGCATTCACCAGGCCATATGCGGATTTCAGAAGTTCACATGTTTCATTTTCCTTTAACTGAAGTTTTTCTCTGAGTTCAGGAGGAGGTTTTACCCCTAACACACGGTTATCACGGCGGGATCCTCTGAGGAACGCAGTCTTCACATCAAAGCTTCGAATTTTCCAGCGACGTGCAGCACAGTATTGTAGCAACAGAGATCGAGAATCGCGCTGCAACGTTGGGGAGTCTCTTGGTATTTCAGTGATATTGGGGTCCATGTAACCAAGAACAACAAGTCTGGCTTTGGCCTTTCGATTCTTACCTTCAATGGCTGCATCCGTAGCATCCAGGTCCTTCCAGGTTAACACCCAACGACACTTTAAGATGTTTTCTTCTGGAATCTTGCTTCTGAGAATTCTACGGACCGTGTCTGTGTCAAGCCATTGATTGATTTCTTTTTCTTTGGCCTTTTGGAATTCAAACATTTCCGATGGAGTCAGGTCTTTGATCTTTACTTCGGCTCTTTGACGTTTGGCAGCTGAAGCCACTAAACTTGGAAATTCATCTGGATGTTTGTTCATTTATTCCACATCGTGTTTTGTTAGAAAAATCTCACACTCCAAACCTTGATCATGAGAAACATGCATTATGTCTTCGCAGGACAGAATGGCTTGTCCGGCATCAGGAACTACAATGAAAACGGAGACTCCAGTCCATGGATGATCTTTGCACCATATATTCTCATGACACCCCCACGTATCATGTTCGAGCCAAGCTGCTCCTGTCGGAGTTGTGCCCGTTGTGACACGAGTGTCGGACAAGTGCAGGATGTCCACAGGACAGTCTGGGCAACTGCTTGGATCAAAGGTGGAAAACCGAGGCTTGTTGTGAATCCGCAGGATCTTGTCAGGCTGACACACCCAAACATCCTCAAGCATGAGATCATCAGCTTCAGGAACAGGAATCTCTTCTGGTTTCAATGCCGGTGTTTTATTGGTTTCTTCATGCAGTGGAGTGGTGGGTGTGTACTTACTGTCCGCCTGAGAGGCTGGAGGCATGCAGGGTTCAGAGTCTGGTTGACTCTCTGCTTCCGGTGTGGCATCAACGGCAGGAGCAGCTTCCAAAGGCATCTCGTTTCCAGGCATCTGTTCATGACTCAGGTTGCTAGGTGGCATTCCTTGAAACCCTGTCAGATCTTCATATTGGAAAACTCCTTTTCCCAATTCTTTGGGAGGAGGTAACATCTTGGTGGCTTCCAGGGTTGTACTGTATTGATAGGCTTCCCTTTCGGAAAGGAACCGAACATGTTCAGGTGCAACCCGATACACACGACTTGAAAAGGAAATCCAAATCACATTTTCAGATTCCTGGATTATGATCCTAGCTGGTCCATGCCATTTTCCTTTGATTTCACCACGTCCGGGACGCCAGAACATGACAAAAGCACCGCTTGCAAAATGACCACGATGCGGTCGCTGACGTCTCAAAAAGGCTCGTCTCAAACGATCACTGTTGTCAGTTTGCACAAATGCTTTTCTGGCCAGTTCTCGGTATTCAAGGTGTTGTCTAAAGGCGATACCCTCGGGACTCTCTGAGTCAGCTAGGTACTGAGCAGGATCGGCATGACCTTCACATAGGCTACCAGGCATCTTTCTACTTTTACCCAGAACAAGAATTTCGGGTGTATATCCTTTTGATCTGGCCAGTGAGTTCTTTGCTTGACAACACAGGCGCAGGGCTTGTCGGAATTCCAAATCCGTCTTGATTTCACGATCTACATCAAATTTCTCAAGCATGTGCTGAAGGATATCTCCATAACGTTCTGTCTTTCCATTCTGCCAATGAGCAAACGCTGCAATCACCCTAAGGTGGATATTTTGACCTTGAGCATATTCGGCAAACTGATCGGAACATATCGGGGACGCATTGTCAACAATCAGTTGCTGACATGGTCCTGCCCAGTGGAACCAACAGTCTTGCATGGTTTCAAACATGGATTCGGCATCAGTTCGAAAAATTGAGGTAGCAACCTGAAAATTTGTGGCAGCGTCAATCATGTGCAAGAATTGAAACTGTTTTCCAGCACGGGAGGTCCATGTCACGAGATCGCAGCCCACACAGTCATTGAACTCACGCGGTTCAGGCAGACTGGCTGGTCGAGATATTTTTGGCTCCTGTAGCTCAACACATGTGCTACATCGGAAATCTTCCACCCCTTGAATGATGATTGGATCCGCATTTTGTTGTTGGAGTACATTCTGAAGTTTTCGATTGTTGGGATGGCCAAGATTGTGATGTATTTTGGAAATCCATTGTCTTTGTGGAAGAGATAGCGAAAGGAATTTGGGTCCATGGTATACTATGGATTGTTTCAGTTATGTATTGGAATCAACTGCTGATGGAGATCTATCTGCAACCTCTTGGGACTTTTCCGGCTGATTTGATGTTGCCTGAACTTCCGGTATTCTGAAGGTTTGTTGGTTTGGTTCGGGGCTATCACCTTCACCTGTATCAAGACCTTGGCCATCATTACGAAGCTTCTTGTGAGCATGGTCTGGACAAAAGGGTGACTGACTTTCCTTCAGGGCATCTTCGTGATCTCTCTTGATACCACTCTTCTCTCTGGCAAACACAGTTACTAACAATCGGGCTGGAGGACTCTTTGAACACAATTGGCGCATGCTGAGATTTTCCCATTGTTCCCATTGGCAATCAGGGAATGGCTCAAGGCTATGGCGGTGTATTCCAAGTGTCATGCGGAGAGGAGCTTCATGTGGTATCAACTTCACTGGGGATTTGCGGAAGCGATCCGCTCCCTTGTACAGCTCAACAACTCGCACTATGTGGTCAGGAAATGCTTGTTGCACAACATCAAACAAGGCTCCATGTTCAAGCACAGTCTTACCAACACGAGGTGCTAATTGCAAGGCCTGATCAAGAATCATCTTTTTGGATGGTTTCGCATCACCCTGAGAGGAATTTGCCTCGGATGTGTTTTCAGCATTTTCCTCGGGAACGCTTGGCGAGGTGGTACTTGGATATCCCTCAGGTTGAGAGATCTTGCCGTTAAGGCGTTTTCTCTTGGCAGCCGATTCAGCAAAATCTTCCATCGAACCAAGGATCATGTCTTGGGAAATCGTGGACAGCTCATGGACTTGCAGACTCGCACATATGGTGCGTGCAACACGTTGGCAAAACATACGAGTGTACAGTTCCGTGTACTCTGAGAGCCTACCATGAGTCCCATTGTTTTTGACATAGGATCCTGCTATTGGAACATGTTCATGATCGTGCTTACATCTGAACTGTTGAATGTACCTGGCAAGAATGCTAGAAGTGGTTACAATTTGGGTACCCTTCTGTAGAGGTATGTTCATAGTCGGATGTGTCAATTTTCCAGCCGTGCATATATCACACCGAACACAACGGGCATGATCCATGACTTCCTGAAGGCATTCTTGTCCCAACATCAATGATCCCACCGGTTGTTCCAGATGGAAGTGGAAAGAGTCACCTCGCATTGCCTGCAATTTAAACAGCGCAGCACACAGAAGGAGATGCACTTCGTCATCTTCCTGAGCTTGGCAGACCTTTTGCGCAGCTTCTAAGGACCTGTTGGCATTGAACTGGGACCACTTGCACCAGGCCTTACATTTGGGAGATGTCCAAATGTGCTTTGGGGACCTTCGGAGGACTTTGTACAATTCACATCGACCCTCGTAGGTATTTAAGTCTCCCTGATTCAGGCCAAAACGCAGAGTTCGGAGTCCTTGTTGTTGACACTGTGATGTCAGGCGGCTGTCAGCAGAACAATAAATTTCCAAGACATCCAGACTAGAACGACTGTTCACAGGATCATGATCATGTTGTGAGAAATATTGCATCATTTCACAAAAAAAACCAATTGGAAGATACAACAGAAGATCTCTGAACTGGATATTTCTCTTTTCCCAATCCAAGCATGTAAGCATTATATTCTTCAATCACCTGATCAATCATCAGTGTCTGAGCTGGCTGAGTCAATCGGACTGGGCAGCTGCGGCCGGAGGTGTCAGGCTTTGCAACTGACTCACAACTTGCATCAGAACATTCTCGAGTTGGTCGATGCGGCTCATCATCTTGGAGGGCATGAGGGATTCGGCAATGGACACCTGATCCCATGGCTCCTCGTCGATCTCGAGGTCGATCGGCATCCCCGTGGAGGATGCTCCATGAGCCTTGCCACCGGCTTTTGGCTGAGGCTTCACTGGCAGTTGGGCGCCAGTCTTTGATCCATCGATCCCAATCTCGGTTTCCTTGCGTTCCGTCCACAGGTTCAGAAAGAACAGGAACTCTTGGTGCTCGCTTTTGCCGCTGGCTCCCCACTGACGAAGGAACCACTGACAGTACTTTGGATCGGTCTCGACCACCTCCTTGAATGTGAGTCCGGCCTTTGCTGTGCCGAACTTGATGGTGAAATTCTGAAGCTCTTCCATGCTCAGGGCCATCAGCGTCTTCTCCTTGCTTGTCTTGTTCTGCATCTCCTGAATGGCAGCGAAACGATCCGCAAGATTGGCTGAGGACATAGCTACCCGCACAAGGTAAGGACTTAGAAATCTCGGTGGGCTGATTGTCGAATTGATCCCGGAGAACTTCGGCAGTTGCTTCACTGGAACTGCTGATCTTGCCTAACGAAACATAATTTGATGAATCGGCCTCCCCCGCTTTTACTACCTCAGGATTGATATTCATTTCTTTATCTACCCCAGAATTTTCATTATTGATCTCCATTGCATCGTGATGCAACACTTTGGACGGAAGAGGGGATTCTTCGGGCTGGCACGCACAGACATTCTCAGCTTTCAGCATGGTAGTTTTGTCGGGCTCAGTAGGTCTGGGATGTCGCAACGAGACTAGCTCCGAAAAATCTAGCAGAAAGAGTTTCTTGCCAGAAAGTATCAGTGGCATGGTGCAATCCAACTCACGAAAGCATATGGTTTGATTGGTGGTATCAATAACTGCTCCCAGAGATCTGCAAACATTGTTGGAAATCAAAAATGGGGTTCTGGTATCAACAACTGCAATCTTAATCCAAAAACGATCCACAGGCACCATCAACGCCACTCTGCATGGGACAACGCTGTTGTTGCCAAAGCGAAACGACATGTCCACAGGCTGTTCAAATACACGACAGCGAACTGATTCAGGTAACAGTTCTAGGAATTCATCAACCTGATACCGACCCATTACGGTCTGTGATGCTCCAAGATCCAAAATTCCTATGGTTTGGTGGGTCGCAAACAACACAGACTGTTCAATGGCTGGAGTCTCTGGCAAATTCGTGAAGGCTTTCTGCACACGAACATCTGTCGGAACCGCAGGTTGAACACTTGAAACTAGAGATCCATCGGCGGATGCACGCAAGGAGTCATTGCTCCGACTTTCAGGCGAGGGGTTTGTCTCACTGGTGCCGGCTTCATTCTTCCTGGAGATCGTTTGGACATCCATGTGCTGGCACAGAAAACTTAACCTATCCCTGACTTGTGCATAGAACCGACAATTACTAGAATTCCCCAGTTTATTCTTATCCCCACTATGATTATTTCCTTCACACGTGAAAACATCATGGGAGTGTGATGGTGCTGCCGTATGAGATGGGTCCTGGACAGACTGCAAGACATCGGATGTGTCATGGACCAGGCTTTCAACCAGGAACACATCGGCTTCCTCATCGTTCACATCGGTGGCAGAAATCATCATGTTGGCAGGCTGAGCACGGGATCCTACAGAGTTGCTGGTTGTGGAATTCTGCGATCTTCGGGGGCATTCGGCCTTCCAGTGCCCCTTTTGTCCACAGAGCCGACATTCCGACTCAGCAATTCTGACTGCGAGAGGCTTTCTGCCTCGTGAATTGAATCCCTTTGATTTCCCCTTTTTGCCACCACCTTTGGAACGGACAGGCCAGAAGCCTCTGTATTTTGCTTTCTCTGTCAATTTGCGTCGGGCTTCAACATAAGAGCTCATGAAGGCATTCATCTCTCCGTCTGATTGGATCGTGTCGATCAGGGCATCCTCAAATTCTTGCACAACAAGGGCATCCTCATCGTTCTCAGACAGAAACTATTCCATGGCGTAGTCTGAAACATCGGCACTTTCAACTGAAAAACCATACTGAACTTCTTCGCCATAGAAAACTTCTTCATCCAGCTCTACATGATTGACATCATAGGTCTTGGTTCGACTTTGTTTCACATTCCCTTGGACCTCCTGGAAGAACTTTGCACCAAGCATACGAATGGCCTTGGTGACTTCCTCGTACTTCAGGTGTCCTTGGGCCTCGATCACCACGCGCTTCTTGTCCTCAGAAACAAGACCAGAGTTCCTCAGCAGGATATAGGCTCTCATGTCACTGAGGGTTGCTCCTTAACTGATCAAGTCTTCAAAGAGGACTTCATGCCGGGCTAGATATGACTCATTGGTTTCATCGGATTTCTGGGAGATCCCAAAAATTGCACGTTCGAATTTCTCATATTTGTCTTCAAGGACCGTCTTTCCCCACACTCCTCCAAGTGTGGTCACAAGGAGTTTGACTCCATCCAAGCTATTCAGCTTCAACTTCTCGGGGGCCAAACGAACAACCTTTTGAAAGGCAGATCCTTTGCACTGCAATGCTGCTCGTGGGGCAAGTTGGCTGAGGTATTCACTCGGCCAAATGCCAGCTAGAAACTCAAGGCGTCTAGCATACTCTGTCAGATCCGTCTCTCCAGGACTGAAATGAGGTATCAAATGCCAGGGAAGTTGTGAACCTGTGGTGTTTCCGGAAGATGCACCAGGCTCGGAAGTTCCATCTATCGACATTGTGGACTCAAACTCGTTCCAAATCCCACGGGATCACCTCCTTTCCAGGATAACAGAGCAAAAAGTATTGGACCTCCAACAGTGGTCCTTGTAAGTTTCACCAAATGCAACTCAGTTGTATGTTCACCAAGTAATCCTAAGGAGCCAGTTGCTCCGCTACCAATGTGGAATGTCCACAATTGGTAGGGAACTTCCAATGGAATGATGTTGATGACTGTGTCAACCAGGATTGAATCGGAAACAGCAGTAGGAAGATCTGTAAATAATGGTCCCCTGAACCTCAATGACTATGGCCACTCCTATGGCTAATCGTACCGTTCCACCCAAGCTAAAGTGCAGCAGGCTCTGTTGTTTTCCTCAGAGCTCACCAGGTGCACAAACCCCTCGCTCGGGCCTATAAATGGCCGCCAGGCATTTGTTGATCCCCTTTGCTGGTTGGCATGTAGAACATGGCTTTGACAGCGACCCCAACTGGAGAATTCAGGAGGGAAAAGGAATATATATTGAAATCACAATATATCTATATATATTTAATCAGGTCCTGGATAAATTATTATATGTTTTATTAAATATTTCTAGATATGGAGGGGAGGATATTTTTTTTTTGAAATATTTTAATTTTTATCCCCCCCCATTCCCCCCCGTAAAGGGAGGGATATAGGGGGAATATATATTTATTCTTAATTAACTTATCTTTTTTTTCTTTCTTTTTTTATTTATTTAAATATATATATATTTATAGTTATATATTTATAATATTATAAATAACCTGGTCCGGGACAAAAATAGATAATCTCGGAATTAAAATATTATATTTTATTTTATTATTATTTTTAATTTAAATTATTAATTCTTTTTTTAATATTGTTTTAAAATTATATTTTATTTTGAAAATCTTCAAAAAATAATTAGCATTGTGAAGTATTTTTATCTATTTTATTTAATTTTATGTGAGAAAATAATTATTTTTTTATTTATTTTATATTTTATAGGAAATAAAAATATTATGAATACAAATTATAAAATACCAAAATTAATTATTAAAAAATAATATAAAAAATTATATTTACTTCCTAAATTCCAGTGACCTCTGATATAATTGGTGTATTTTTCTTGAGTTTTGTTGCGGTGTCTATATGTTTCGTTATTAATGTCGTAATGGGGAATGTATATTGTTATTGTTTGGATCTAGCGGTAATATTGGGAATTTCGTATCGAATTAATTAGGTATTTTTTTCTTATCCATAATGGAAATAAAAAGTAAGTGGTGGATTTATATTCTGATATTCTTATTTGGTTAATTATATTTGACACTAGTTTTGGAATATTTTCTGGATATAACAGGGATAGATAGAGTTCATTCTAGGTCGGGAATAATTAGGATCTAAATTCAATATTATTTATCAAATTATTTGGATATATTGTTTTTTTAATTATTAATGGAAATCTAATTCTGAGTTACCGCTTACCTGCCGCATATCTAGTTTTTGCCTATTTCTTGCCTCTGGTGCCTGCTTGCTGTCTGGCTGTTAGTGTTGGCTTGGCTGCTGCTTGGCTGCTGCTTGGCTGCTGCTGCTTGCTTATTATTATCTCCTCCCGTTATTATATTATGATTTCCAATGAGGAAAATAAAATATAAAAAAGGGGGAGGAAGGAAAAAAACCTATAAGGAGAAAAAAAACATATATATATATATATTAGAATAAGAATTATTCTTATTTATAAATAAAAAGAAATAAAAATATTTGAATTATTTAATTATTTTATAATTTTATATAATTTAATATATTTTAATTCGTTATTGTTTTCGTTTAAATTCAAAAATAATAATATTAAAAAATAAATATATAATTTTTATAATATAATTATAATAAATAAGATTTAAATAAAATAATATAAATATTTAAAAAATAATATAATTTATAATTTAATTAAAAAAAATTAAAAATTATATATATATATAATAAAAATATTTTTTTATTATATAAATTAATATATAATATATAATAATATAAATATAACTATATTTTATATAATTTAATTAATTTTAAAAAATAATATATTTTTTCTTTTTTACATTATATTTTATTTATATTTCAATAATTCCGATATAAATTTATATTTTATAAATATTCTTGAATTATATATTTATTTTTCTGATTTAAAATATAAATTTAGGATTGGTTTTTTTTTCAAAATCAAATAATTAATTATTCGAAAAATGCAATAAATATCCAAAAAAATATATATATAAATATGAATTAATTTGTTATTCTGAAAAAAAAAAAAAAAAATTAAATCATTATAATTTAAAATTATATCAATATCCAATAAAAATATAGATTAACTAGTTGGTTGAAATAGTCTCTAAAATAATATATGGAAAATTCTAAAAATTATAAATTAAATTTTAAAAATTATATCCCATGAAAAATTATGATAAAATTAATAAATATTTTTATTTATAATTTATAATTCCCAAGCTAAATCCAAAAATATTATTTATCAAGGACGGATTTTCCATATCTAATATAATAAATCCAATAAATTATATATTATCCAGGATTCGATAATTTATAAAATTATCTTTTCCATATCTATATTTATTTAGATTATATATATAATTTATTTCAATCGTATTTGTAGTTACCAATTGGTTTTATAAAGAATTTGCCTGTAATAAGTTCATAGGGTTTTATTTGGATTCCATAATAGTGATATACCTTTTAGTATTGGACTTCAATACTTGGACCCAATCTTTGGCTCGTGGATATTCACGACATGTAGTTATCTGGCCTGTGTCAAACAGACCTGAAAAAGAAAAAGTGAAGACTGAAGAGGTTCAATGAGTGTGTGATCAGTAGCAGTCCCGCTAATTGTCAGTTCCATGATATGAAGGATATTCAGAGGTTCGGAAATAACGAATATGAGCCCGTCCAATCCAGGGACAGGAACATATTTTTCAATTCCGAGGAATGGGTCTGCACACCTAAATAATTAAATATATTACTCAAAAGGGGTATAAATTTAAAACGGGATGGAGCAAGAATCTGCTTAGGGAAAGATGGGGGAAGGTGAAGTATTGGAGGCTTTCTTACTCCGCCATCATGACAATATCATATCAATTATATTGGGTAATGGAATTGAAACATAGCACGGAGTAGCGGAGTAGCGCGGAGTAGCGAAGGATTGGTGAATGTTGCCTGGGTGGTGTTGTATCGCAATCTCCGTATTGGAGCCAGGGAACGGAGATAACTGATACCACATGTGCGCTCTCAGGTTCCATTTCTGGGGCCGGAAAGTCAATTGAAACAGGTTTCGTATGTGCGGGCCTCCTCGTTCCAAATTTATATGTTTGTCGCTTAATAAACGCAGTTGTAATTTTTTTTGTTTGTTGCACGGGTCGGCCTTTGCTGTTGATTTTGCGACTTTGCGGTCTCATTTTTTGTACCGCCAGACGGTCCCAAAAATGGGACCGTGAAAGTGTTTTTCTTTGTTCTTTTACTAAGCTTTGTATGTGGTCCCAAAAATGGGACCGCCAGGCGGTCCCATTTTTGGGACCGTGTTTAAGTTTTTTTTTTGAAATTTTTTGTATCAGGGTTGCAGAAACGCAGTGTTTTGGTCTCAATGCAGCTTTGTGGCTAATGGCGACCAGAAGGGTAACTAGGGAGCCCCTTTTGAGCGAAATCGGTTTTGAGAAGGTTTTCCGGGAAGCCGGTTTTGAGAAGGTTTTCCGGACTCAGAATTGGGTCCGTCGGAGCAAGCTGTTTTGTAGATGATTTTGTTTCTTGTTGGGGCAAGGGGGGTGCAGATCGGTTGCTGCTTGAACCCAATTGAAGTTAGCTTCTTATTCTTTGGTTCGTCTGGTGGCTTGATTGTTTGCTAAAGGCCCATCAGCCTTGTGTAGTTTTAGGTGATTCCTTGA